TCCCCCCCCCTATTCCTTGGGTCTGGAGATTCCTAGCCACTCCGCCTTTTCTCCACCTGCAGTTTTCTTATGTTTGTTTTGTATATAATGTCCTTGGTTTTGTTTGTACTTCATGAGAGGAAGAGGTGAAATATGATTACTCCGTATTCCAGAAGCAAAGGTCCTGTCACTCACTGATTTTTTAATACATCATTCTTTCTTCAGTATTGTATACATATGTTACAATCTTTGATGAGTTCAGTCTCTCTCTGCACTCTTAGTGTTGACTTGTTTTCATGTGAATTGGCATTTTGTGTGAGTGTTTGTGAGAGAGAGCATGAGTGTGGGGAGGAGAGAGAGAGCACACGGGTGTGGAGAACTCACTCCTGAGCCTTCCCTCCGAGCATCTCCGGGCTCTGAGTCGGGAATGCTGTTCTCCAAAGACTTACATCTCCCTCGGCCCTGAGGCGGGGGTTGCCCACAGATCTGGACCATTCAGCCAGGTCCAGGTTCTGTCCCTGAAAATCTCAAGGACAAGCTCCTCACTGGCTGGGGGCCCTACACTGGTGTCCGGGTCGCCGTGTCGACATTGCGTGTGCCTCGAGACTCTGTGCTGTGTCTGTGTTGGCAGTTGTTTTTGTTGGAGGTATAGCAGGGAGACATCCATCCCGCAGGACTGGAAGGGGCCTGGTCTCAGACTATGGGGCCACTGCTTAATTCTGTTCCCTCAAAAACTGGTTTGGGAAGGAAGTGTTTGTTTTATTCATCAGGCTGCAGTCCATAGCAGGAGACTCTGCAGAGTATCTTGTTGGCAAATATGTTGCGTTGCTGGTCAATTTCAGTATCATCTGTATTTTCTCTTAGAAATTGTTGCTCCTAATGTCCCCCCTTTTCCAATCTCTCCACAAGAGAAGGTAGTGGGGAGTAAGTATGAGAGCATGCTCCTCATTTGTTTATTTGGCTGACAGGTTTCTCATTTTTCTCTTTAGGGCAGAAAAGACTGAAGTTCTGAGTGAAGACCTCCTTCAGGTAAGGCTGCCTCTCTCAGCTGAG